ATACAACAACTTTTTATTAATGCTTCAAACAAATGCTCCTCGATTGTATTATCAGTGCTTTCTTGTACAACATAACCGTTATAATTCCATCCAAGATAATAGAATTTTAAAAGAATATGTCTCTTATTACACCTAAAATTAAAATAGTTTATATTGAAATAAATAGTTTCTTTATCATAATATTTATTTTTATAGTTATATAGATTTACATACTTTGAAAAATCAAATGGTTTTTGTGATTTATGAATATCTTTATTTTTTGATTTTTCTTTTATTTTATTTTTCGCTGCTTTCAGTTGTTTATTTTCTTCTTCCAATTTTATTATCTTTTCTATCAATTCCTAACAAAAATATGTTACTTAGAATAAAATATTTATACCATATACTATTATAATGGTTCCTTTCAACAAGGAATTGTATATTTTTTGTCATTAACTATGACTTAAATATTAGAACATAATGCAAAGTAGTGAAGTGATATAAAAAAAGCAACATAATCATAAAATTTCCATATTTTAATCTAAGAAAAATATACGTAGCTTAATTGATTGATAGTTTATTTATCAGATTATTAACAAATATAATTTATTTATTAAATCAGATAATTAAAGTAAATATATTTACCGCCTTGCTGAGCAACTGAAGTTCTTCTTTCTCTAAAGTTTCTTGTGTTTTCTTTTTATCCACACTTGACATGATCTTATAGTTTTATATAATAACGAAACGAATATTATATTATTAGAAGATGTATTAAAAGTTACAAAAAATTACAATACTTAGCATATAATTATTAAAGAATACAATTAATATTTTTTACAAAGATTTATTATGTTTATAATTACATTATTTGAGATATTCCAAAAAAAAGTATGAGTATTATATAAAACAAAATATTAAAAGAATTACAAAATGTATATTATTACTAAGTCTAATGCAATCAATTAAAAAATGACATATAACCTCAAATAAAAGAATGATATATAACCTCAAATGAAAGGAGAGAATATATATTAAAGAAAAATACTAAAATTCGATTTACAAAATATAAATGCATTTATTTACAATAAAATATACGAAAAAGATCATTTTAATTAGTATTTAATACATCTCAGGATACAATAAATCTCACGATATAAACGAATATCAAATTATACATATGTACATACATATGAATACAAATATCAAATCCTCTGAGTGCTGAAAAACACGAAAATACTTTATCTGTATTAACACAAAGATATGTAAAATATTGAACTTTTCGAAGAAATTTAACATTATGCGATGTAATAAAAACATACATTTGTTACGAAAACAAAATTAAAATACTTTCACTATTTCAAAATCTGTGATTTCATTTTGATCATACACAATAAAAGATTTAGAGTTACAATTGCAAGAACAAGCCAACAAAAAGTTAAAAGATTGTTTTAGTACACCTTTGTAACAGTTTAAAACATTTTTTACATTTTACATTCACTTTACATTTTTACGGCTCTATATATGTGTATTACGCGAGTAGAAAGTATTATTAGTAATTATACATACAAGTTTTTTTTCTGTAATTTGAACTTGATACAGTTGAACTCGTAGTGCTATATTTATGCATTTATGTACAGTTCCTTATTCTATTTTTTTAATTCTAATAAATTTTTTCTTAATTTAGTTGTGGTTTTATTATATTTAGATTTGTTCTGTATATATTGACCTTATACCCTATGTAAGTATGGTATACTCGAAATCAATTCACAACTGAATTTGTCATTTAATCTTATTTTGCATTATGTATAAATCGTGTTCCCATATTTTTATTAGATTTGGTAATAGCTCCCAAATATTTTAGTTTAGACATTGTAATTTAGATTATCTTTAAACAAGTACTGACGAAGCCTGCAACCGCGAAGTAGTATTCCATGGTAAGAAAAATCTAGTTAACCATCTGGATGTTATAAATATCTATTATTTTAAAACTATTGTAAGACAGTACTTATCCTATTTTAAATATTTCCAATAAATTCACAAATCTTTGAAATATGTGCGTTTATGTATGTACACATGATATGTTATACACATATTGCAATTTCAATGTATTAATTGTAATTTAGTTAAATACATTGTTGTTGTTATTGTATTTCTAAACGAAGCTATCTAAAGTACTTAAAGAAATATAAATGTAGAAAATATAATTATTGTACCATATTATACAGTGATATGTGTTTACATAAATATAAATATAAGAAGGAAGGAAATAATATATGTATATGCACAGTGAGTACTTATTAAGTGGTTAGTATGTGTAATAATGAAAATTATTATATTATAAGTATTACACGTATTCCTACAATTTTATTATATTATACATTTTAAAATAAATTTTAATATTTAAAATATATTGCTTTGCAGAGCTAAAATTATTAAATATAATCTTATAATCACATAATATAAACAAAGATAATATATCATAAGTACATCATTTTGAATGTATAATATTTCAGAGTCAAAGATGCCTGGAGAACCATCTATGACTAGTGGAAATAAAAGTGCTGGGAAAATCAAACGGATTTCTATTCCAAGAGTACAAAGTAGTACAGATACAGAATTGCAATCACAAAGTGGATCTACTCCATTGCAACCAACTGCACTTCACTATGCAGCTTTTCGTACAGACCCTGATGATAATATACTTCCACCAGCTTTACGATGTCGACTTTTTGAATTATTTCAACAAATAGAAAAAGAATTTGAGATTCTTTACACAGAAAATTTGGGATGTATGAAAATATTGATATTTTTATATGTTATATGCTATGAATATTAGTTTTTATAATGAAATATAGAAAGCTTTTATCTATTACTTTTTATATAATTTAAAAAATATCTTTATAATTGAGGCTTTTAAGAATATAAATAAGCAATGTCAAATAAGATGATTAAAATAATTTTTAGTAAATTTTACTTATTAACTTTATGTTGCTAAAAAAAAGTATAATCTTATTAATATATATGTTTCCAAACATCTCAATTTAGTACAAGAGAAGATAGATACTCTTAATGAGAGGCTTGAAAGAGAGTGTTATGGTTCTGGAGAACGGAGCTTACCTCTTGGAGATGTTGCAGACTTTCCAGATACAAAAAGTCTTTCCAAACAAAAATGTAAGAATGTAAATAATTAAGAGCAAGGGAGAATTGGAAAGTTATCTCATTCTTTTTCATTTATGTTCAAATATTAAAAATATATATGTTGTTTACAGCTATGGCAGGGAATTCAGCACCAAAAACAAAAACAACTTCTAATAAGTTAAAAGCACAAACTAGTAAAATAGTTTCCAGTTTTAAAACACCAACTATGACATGTAGTATGCAAAGAGAATATTTTGGGCATCGGGACGGTGTTTGGGAAGTTTCTGTTGGAAGAGCAGGTCAAATTATTGCTACAGCTTCTGCTGATCACAGTGCTAGAGTTTGGGCTATGGACAGTGGGCGTTGTTTATTGCAGTATATTGGTTTGTTTTTCTTTAAGTTACAGTTTTACGTATTCTTATATATTTTATTAGTATTTACGAACTATACAAAAATATTTCCATTAGTATTGGGTTGGCAACTAAGTGATTGCAGATTTTGTCATTAGGTGGTAATATTTATAGTATAATAAGTTCTATAAAGTACACATTATACAAAAAATAATAATTTTGTTATTTGATAAATAGAATATTTCTCATTTAATTTATAGGTCATTCTGGCTCTGTTAACTCCGTACGTTTTCATCCTACCAAAGAGTTGGCACTCACATCAAGCGGAGATAATACTGCTCATGTGTGGCAAGCTGCTGTAGATTGGGATTTACCTAAAAGACAGAATTCATCTGAAGACCTTTCAGGGTTGAGTTCTGATAGAAATCTTAGTGGTGTGATTGCTTTGAATGAGGAACAAGAAGAACCGCCTACACTAAGGTAATATTTATGGAAAGCCAATTTAAATTTCCTTATCATTCAATTAAATTTTTGATCTAAATTACACTTTAATGAATGAAAGTTATTACAATACAAAGAGTTGTTCTTACATAGTTCTAAATAGGAAATCCACATTTCAGTATATATTTATACTTTGTAAAATATTACAGAACTCCAATACGAGAGTTATTAGGACATACGGGTGTCGTGATGGCTGCAGATTGGTTACCCGATGCAGAGCAGATAGTCACTGCTTCTTGGGATAGAACTGCAAATCTTTATGACGTAGAAACTGGAGAAATTATTCACACATTATGTGGGCACGATCAAGAACTTTCTCATGTATCAACTCATCATACGCAACGACTTTGCGTTACTTCGAGTAAGGACAGTACTTTTCGTCTGTGGGATTTTAGGGAGCCCATTCATTCGGTTTCCGTTTTCCAAGCACATACTGAGTAAGTAATAATTGATGATGAATTTGTTAAATCTGATGAATCATGGTATAAAATGAAATGTTCTTAAACACTACATATTTTAAAATACAGGACTGTGACATCAGCGGTTTTCACGCGTGAAGATAAAATCGTTTCCGGCTCGGATGATCGAAGTGTAAAAGTATGGGAATTACGAAATATACGAAGTCCTTTAGCTACAATTCGAGGTGACAGTGCCGCTAACCGATTAGCCGTATCAAGCACTAGCATCGTTGCAATTCCACATGATAATAGACAAATTAGATTATTTGATCTTAACGGTCAACGATTAGCTAGATTGCCTAGAACTAGCAGACAGGTAAGTAAAAATTTCACCTTATGTCCTATAGTATCGTTACTTTAATCTTTCTTTGCATATCTTGTGATAATTTAGACTTAAAATTTCACGGTGAATTTAAAAAAAGAATTTGTATTTTATACTGAGAATATAAAAATAAAAATACTTTAAACTTGATTTTGATTTCAGGGTCACCAGAGAATGGTCTCGTCTGTAGCCTGGGCTGAAGATAGCGGGGGGGTCTGTAACTTATTCTCTTGTGGTTTTGATAGATTAGTTCTTGGATGGAGTATCATACCTCTTAAGGAATGTTAAATACATGTATATTACAAATATATTTATTTAGTTTAGTTTAATGTTATATTATACCAAACAGGATTACAAAATCAAATTCAATTAAAAATAAATAATTATACTAATTTTAAAACTTCAAACATCGTGAAGGAAAAATTAGGTGTGCAATTGTAAACCACTATGCCTATTCCCAAAATTACTAAAGATTCCAGTCTTCTATTGTTGGTTGCCACTGAAATTATATAACATATAGATATATTAATAATAACTATAAATAATTTATTATAATTATAAGTATGGTTATACGATTATAGTAATAGGATGAGTTTAACCGCTATATGCGTGAAGCATTCATCAACTTAGCACCGAAAGGTGTTTTAACTTAATCACCACATCCTAGAAGATTCATACGTAACAAATAAATAAAATATAATATAAACTATATGAAATTTCTTACCTGAATAGCTAGTAAGTAAGCAAAGAAGAGTATATCCCAATATAAGCAAGTAATGGGGTGTTAGAAAAACATGTCCCCATGTAATTTCTAACAGTCCTAATAATTTTCCAGATCCACCAATGATTAAAGCTTTCATTAACTGTATCACACTACATTTGTTTGAATTAGTTGGGTAAAAATACCACTTCACTTTAGTACAGAAAATTACGGCGAAGACAAAAGTAGCGAGAGCAAAAGCAGTGTTGAATAATATTAGATAGACACTACATTTTCCATTAAAATTAGGTTGAAATATCTTCCAATATTGAACATACTGATTGCTATTGTTACATAGAAAGAAATTTCGGAAAGATTCAATAAGCCACAAAATTATTACTAGTTTCCAACACGGCGTTATATCACAATTGTGAAGCAAATGCCTGTATGCTTGTCTTTTAAGCAATATTAAATCAACCAAGATTATTACTGGATCGTATTCAATATATTTATCTGCCAAGAGATCACATGTTCCCTGAAATGAATAAAAATAAATTATTAACCATTTAGAAGCAAGAAATAATTTTTTTTTATAATAGAAGTTATTTTACAGTATAAAGTTCCAAAATAGTAACTTTAGAAAAACTTGGAGTATTGATTTTGAACATTAAACCAATAAGAAAAGTTCATGTACACAAATGTCTGATGAGGTTTATTTGTCAAGTTATAATAAGAAAAGAATGTTATATGTAATTTTATTATGAACACTTTATTACGAAATCAATAACAAAATACAAAAAAGATATGGAAACAAATGTAAAGATTTAAAAATAGAAGTGCAGAAAACATGGCAACAGGAATAAGTAATAACGTAAGTTATCACGAATACTAAAATTATTTGGTATTTGCTTAATAAATATCTACAAATATGATACACATACTTGAATACAAAAAACATACTTTTGTGTTATGTATATATTATATCTAATACGTCACATAGCTTGGAAATTTGTAAGCTATGATTAAACGTTTATAACAATAGTTATATCGAAGTAGTCTTCTGACGATAGGCCATGTATTACGTACGATTTAAATGGTACATCGCTGGTGTAAAAATAATGATAACAATAACAGGGACAATATTATCTTTCTTGCTTTTTGTTAAAATGATCTATTATTCGTTTTGCATCGGCTTCAATTTCTGGTTCGATTTTACTCAGCATCCTTAAATTATACAATAGACGATCAATTTCTTCGTCTTCTATCAAAGAAGGAGATGATTCAAATTTGCAAATTTGTTTCAAAATTGCAGTTTCCTCTGGAATGATTTCCGCCTGTTCGCATCCGGAAATCCACTCTGTTATTTCTTCAGCAGACATCACGTCGATAGATTGCTCTGCATTCTGTTCATCGGTGACCGTAGGATTTTCTGTTTTAATATTATTAAATTCAAACTGTCTGTTAAGAATTTTCACCCAGCAACTACGAATGTTTTGTGGTGTAACATTATTCCATGCTTCGCTAATGTAATCGATGCAATCCTTAATATCGTAATCAGCATAAAACTGTGTAAGTCCGTCGTTATACTGGAGTACCTATGAAGAAGAAATATATATGAGAAAATTGCATTATTATAAATATTATTTTAAACGAAGTATTAAACGTACAACATACCCGACGAAGTAGTTCAAGCCGAAATATCTTTTTACATTGAGTAATTACGCCTCGGTCCATAGGTTGGATCAACGAGGACGTATTCGGTGGTAAAAATATTAACATAAAGTGGCCATCATCCAGTTCCTTTTTTTCAAGTTTGTGTGCCTTGAAATTGTCAACGAGCAATATTACTTTTCCTTTACGTTGTTCCTGTAATTGGCGCTCTTTCACACTTTGCTTAAAATGATTAGTATACCATTCTCGAAAAATATCTTCGTTAACCCAAGCATTACAATGACTTTTATATACCACCGGTAACTTATCCTTACAATGTTTCAATGCTCGGGGATTTGCGAATTTATTTACAAAGAGTAATGGCAATTTGTGTGTACCGCTAGTGTTTGCACAAAATGCCACAGTTACTATGTCTGTTTTTCTGTTTTCTCCTTTTATGATCAGATATTTTTCCTCGTGAACTAATGTCTTCCACGGAAGTGCTTTCCAAAGTAAACTAGTCTCGTCCATGTTATACACATCTTCTTCGTTTATATCTTCTTTTACTAGTATTTGTAAAAATTCACGTATAAAATTATTCGCGGCGATTTCATTCGGATCTGTCGTGTTCTTGCCAATATCATATTTTTTCTTCCAGTTCTGTAGCCAACCCCGACTTGCTTTAAAATTCGAGGTACTGGGAAACTCTGTCTCTATTTCTTTAGCTTTATTTATTAAAATATTATCTGTTAAACAGTCTCCTAACAACTTTCTTTGCTGAAACCAACGATACAATTTGGACTCCAAATCGGTATATATAGGTATCCGTTGTCTCTTCATTTCCCGGTACTTTGGATTCGCCGCGAAGTTGCGAATCGCCTTCGAGTGCTGCCGGTATCGTCGTATTGTTCTGTTACTGAGTCCATATTCACAGGCAATACTACTCACAGTCATGCCATCTTCTAATTTTTCTAGGATATCTAGCCGATCTGCTATGCTTGTATTATTACCAGAAGGAGATGTCATCACGAACTATCAAGTTATCAATAACCGCAGTAACTGAAAGTTCAATAAATTTTGTTCTTGTTATCACTTGATGTTAATTCTTCACCAAAGCATAATTTTTCCGGGTGTTTCATTCACTTCGTATCCGCTTCAAACCTATTGCACGTTATATGAATACTTACATACTTCATAGGAATGATATGTAGTAGTGCCGCGTTAGCTGACTGAGAGTTTGCCGTGTTAGCTGATGGCCATTATCTCTATCAGTTCTTGGAAGCGACTCCGTAGAGAGGCACCTAACATATTTATTTTAACCTCGATATTTCGTGTCAGGTATCTTTATCTCATTCTCACTTAACGGAGAAGAAAAACACTCGGCTTTTCCTAGAATTCTACCTCCTTTGACAGTTGGTCAGATATTATTTCAAGCTACCGGTCAACTAACGCTGCACTTATTTGCAGTAAATTATGAATTAATACATTAAGCAATCAATTGGTTTAGCCAGCCACGTCCAGAGCTGTATGAGTCTTGTAGATGCACTTTAAATCTTAGATTGCAGAAGTTCCGTTAAGTATCACATATCGATGACTATATATAATTACGAAAAAGCTGCTCATCATTTAATACCTTTGTCTGAGGTCGAATCGCCGAAGCAGTACATCCAATTCTCTTCGTCTGAATAAACTACATAAACCGAAATTTAAAAAGAAGTTCTTATAAAGAGTACAATCATACGAACAATAATAGAAACTAACGTAGTGATAAAGAACATAAGGAATATTTGTTATAGGAATAATCGTTTTTGTTGCTTGGAACACAAGTAAACTGAGCGAGAAAATAAATGCAATTAAATAGGTTGTATTAATTTATTGAAACTCAATTAACCACGAATATCGATAAAATCCGTACCCGTTTTCCTGCCATAATACAGACGGATCATCAGACAATAATATATGCTTTTACTTGGTTCAGTTGATATGGCTACTCTGAAGAATGCGCGTTGTTTTTCCACGTAAAGGAGTCCGCGATTATCAAGGGACATGATCAATAATATATTCGACAGTAAAACTTTAAATGTTTCGTTATTTATTCTTATGTTATCTAGCAACTGTAATTTTCTTACATAAATTTAATTTTGGAACATTATTCTGTAAAACTGTGTATTATTTGTAAATAAGTGAAATATGATATAAAATAAAAAATTGGCTACTATATTCATTCATTTATTTATAAAACAATTTTCGTATGCAATTATTTCGAGAAATGAAACTAATTTTTGATTTCTATAAAAAATAAATTTATATAATATATGACATACACATTTTAAAAGCTTTAGAACACTTGGACAGTATCTCCTATAAAGCTCTTCCACCTCAGCTCCACAATTTACACATCGATACATTATAAAATCACTTATCGTTTTAATTTATGTTTTGTTCTGTAATATCTCCAGATCACCTGCAGTAAACAGACATTACCTAAAATTCATAACATTACATCATTTCTGTCATGAACTTTAAATCTGGATAATTTTGATTAATAAGAGAAAAAAGAGAAAAAAGTCGAATTTCACTGTTTTCTCAATTATTCGTTATGTTGCCTTATGACTTATATTGTTTTATCGTTACCAGAATTAATTATAACATACAGTGTTCGATATGTATGTAAAAATGCTAATACATTTCTTTTAAGAATGATTACATAAACAATTAACCTTGAAAGTTAAAACTAATAAAGAATGGAAAATGCCGCAATTACTGCATGCCTGCCTGATCAAGGTTGTATACGATTGTGTACACATGCTTAAAGAGAAAGTCAAGATAGTTTTAAGAAACTGGAATCGGTATTACAGTTATTCAGTTATTCTACAAAGTTGCTACTGTACACAAGCAATGGAGAACGGCACTATTTTGCTTCCGAATGGACACTTAATGCCAATAGTCGGTTTTGGTACATGGCAGGTAAACTTGTTATAAAATAAAAAGTTTTTGTAAAGAAAATTATTTTTTATACAATACTGTCGTTAAATACTCAAACACAAACGTTAATGTATCAAATATTAAAATGTACAGATATACTTTCTTACCATTCGCTACGATTAATTTTTAAACGTTGTATATAATTTTATTCTTAATGAAATACTTCTTTTACAGTCTGTAAATTTAATTTCATTAATTTACAATCCTATGTAATAATTCCTCTATTTAATATCAAATTTTATAAAATCTACTATTCTTTGAGTGAGAAAAGTTTGATTACAAATTACATATATGAAGATTTAATCTCAAAACTATGGAAACTGTTAATTCGAATAGTACCTATGTCATGTTATTATTGTATAAAGCATTACAATAATAAAGATACAACAATTTATTGTGTATTCATGACTGTATATGTGTATTGTGGTATTATATAAATTAATTGTGTAAATGAAGATTTAACATAGATCTATGTATCAACTTGCTTGATTTAAAGTGTAATATTTTTTTCAAGAATATAATAGTAATAGCAAATGTTTTCTATTTAATTATGAAAATGTGGATCAAAATATATCATTATCCTAATATGGTAATAAAAATTTCTAATACAATCATAAATTTTTAATATGACATATCAATATATATAACAAAAGAATGAAGAGTTGATTTACACATGTATCTTGACAAAATTATTTGGGTTACTGAATATTTTATATCTTTTTGATGTCCCACATATCTTTGATTAAAAAAGGAATATCAAAATTATATTCACAAATGCCTTAAGAAAGATAGAATACAAATAACTATACATACAACTTTAATTAAAATAAAAAATATATATATCGCCATGCAATTAAATAATCTCACATGTTATAGTATGTTCATATGCATAGATTTAATTTAAAATTAAGACCAGTAACATATAGTTTTTATTAAATATTTATTATTAATAACTACATAATTTCAACTTATTACACTGTAGGAACTTCGATAAAAGTGCTCATAAGTTATATATACATATAATTAGTATAGTTTCTAACCTCACATTCTAAAGCACAAGTATCGCTAATTTATACATTCAATTTTAAAAGCTTTATTTCTCTTAATCTCCAATATTTTTATAGCAATAGTTAGAATAAGCTGTAAAAATAGTCTACTAATATTTATATTAATTTTGTTAAAAGAATAAGTAAAACGTAATAATACTATACCTAGTAACAGGTTACATATTTCTTTTACACAGTTATAATCTTGATTAGTTCGTGTCTTAGAAAGAAAGAAAGATCACTTTTTACATAAAATTTAAATAAAATGCAAGAACACAACTTTTACAGGAAATATTTAGTTTAGTCATACATGTCTGACAGAACACTAGATAGAACACAAATGATAGTTGTGCGCATGCATGATACAGCTTTGTCGAACACCATTTTCATAATGATCACATTATCAAAATACATAAATTACTTAAATTATTTATCTAAATACCGATTCGACGTTTTATTTTAATTAAAGTGACCGTACATTTACGTTGACTGAAAACTGTCGAGGAAATAGATACAAACATATATGATATTCCGATCTTTTAATAAACAAATTATTACAAGGACTTAAAAACAATATAAAATATCTACCCATACACAGGATATTCGTATTACTACTAGCGTCTTTTTACAAATATGTATAAAAAATGATAGAGAAAAAGGTTTTATAGTATCTTAAAATCAATACAATAGTACATATGCAATTTCTTATATCTGTAATGTTTCTCTGAAAAACGAAGGTAACGTTTAGTTTTTTATATGGAATACTATATACATATCTCTTTATGTACATAGCCGTGGTACATACTATATGAAATAGCGATTGCCCAGAAACATTCAACCGTGACGTAATAGCATACAAACCTTTGAAATCATATTTATAAGTAGTTTGAATATTCAATATTTTTAATAACAATTATGTACAAGAATATACTAGCTTTAGTTCTTTTGACTACATTTTAAAATGTAAATTGAACATAAATACATCAATATTGTTTTAGTTATCTTTTTTACAAATTGTATAATTTCATTTAAACAGTTATCGCGGGAAAGGAAAATAATTATTAATGAATTTCTATCTCATAAGTGGGATTCGGTTCTTGATAATTAGTTATTTCTGCATCTTAGGTATTATCACGCTTAAATGCTATATATAATTTAATTAATAAAAAAATACTTCTCCTACAAAGTTATATTTCCTAATGATTTAAAAAGCATGTTATAATGTTTTAGGCAAGTGAAGAAGAATTACAGGACGCACTGAACATTGCTTTAGAGGCAGGATACAGACATATCGATACAGCACCAGTATATGAAAATGAAAAAGTAATTGGTCACGTTCTTAAAAAATGGTTTGATTCTGGAAGAATTAAACGATCTGACATTTTCATTGTTACGAAGGTAATATCAGCTATATATCTAACGTCGTATTTACATGAAAATATTTATTGTAATATAATTGGATGGAGAAAATATTAACGAAATTGTTAAAAATAATATTGAGACATAAAGGATCAGTAAAAATTATTTTTTACACTTGTAGCTTCCTTGTGTCGGAAATAGACCAGAAGATGTTGAAACATGGATAAAAAGATCTTTAAAAGATTTGCAGTTAGAATATGTAGATCTATATTTGGTTCACACTCCATTCGGTTTTAAGAAAGTTGGGGAAGATTTACATCCTAAGGATGAAAATGGACAAATATTACTTGATCTTAGTACAGATCATGTAAAAGTTTGGGCTGAAATGGAGAAACAAGTAGAATGCGGACGAGCTAAAGCAATTGGGCTATCAAATTTTAATATCCCTCAAATCAAACGAATTTTAAAAAATGCAAAAGTAAAAGTATCAATGCTGCAAATTGAATTACATGTTTTTTTCCAACAGAAAGAACTGGTATGATGCTTTTTTCTTTAAACACACTCTTTTTATTACGAAATTATTTGACACAAAATAAAATAATATTTTACAGGTAAAGTATTGTAAAGAGGAAAACATCTTTATAACAGCCTATTCGCCGCTTGGTTCGCGCAGTCTTGTTAAATTACTAAATAAAACGGAAAAAATCCCAGATATGTTACAAAACGATGTAGTACTAAAAATAGCAAAAGAGTACAAAAAATCACCTGCACAAATTTTATTGCGATTCATTGTACAAAACGAAATCGTAGTTATCCCTAAAAGTACAAACCCTCAAAGAATTAAGGAAAATAAAGAACTATTCGATTGGAAACTTAAACCAGAGGACATGCAGAAATTAAAAAATCTCGATCTTGGTGAATCTGGTAGAATTTGTGATTTTGAATTTTTTAAGGGAGTAAGGAATCATCCTGAGTTTCCTTTTTAAACCTTTCGTAGATTCGTATGACTTAAATATGTACACTGCAATATATATTTACTATACGCAAAAATAGTAACTTTATAGAAATAAATATTTTTAATTACCTGAGTATGTTTCAAATCTCTATAAATATATGTATTAAAAAAAAATATCATATCTTTATTTCTGCTCTCACTGCATTGTTCTTTTTTCTTTTTGCTTTATTCTTATTATCTAAAATGAAATTAATACCATCAATGTTTCATCAATGAAATCAATTTTTTATCCTAATAAAAGAAAACATCTCAAACAGTGAGAAAGTGTACCCTAAATCGAAAAAAATGTTACTACGAAACGCATGGAAAAGAAAAGAACCGTGTGTAATTTATCTTCCTTGAAACATTACAATATTTTTTAAACTTTACTCACAAGTAAAATAAACTACTGGCACCTATTTGAGAAAACCAATAACATATTATTAGTTACGTGTTATACGAGTCTTGTACTTCGAAATGAAAATTTTGAAATGTATTAACCTTGGCTAGACAATATGGTTTAAATAATTGAATGAAGCGTGTGTCCATTAAATATGAAAAGAGAAAACATGTGATTGTAAAATGAATAAAAGATCCCTGGTGTTAGTAAAGATAGGAACCAGACAATATAAATAATCTTATCTATAAACAAACAATATTGTTCTTCGGTAGCATGTAAGTAGAATGGGGCGCAGCTGTGTAAATTAGTGTGAAACCAGAGAGGAGTAGGGAGATTGCCAATGTGCATGGGTGAAACTCAGCCAAAAGTACGCTCCATGAATTGCCGCCTCTAGTGGTTAAATAACCGAACTATACACACATTTCTCCACCGGTGCTTTTGCTAAGAGAAACGTGCATAAACACGGCATCGAGGTGAGAGGGAAATAGGTTCGTTTCGAAATATTGTAAACTTGCGAATTGAAATGAATAATACAATCTTATTTTATAAATAAACAAAGCGTTTAAATCTTTTAAAATAAGGAGGCATTCCTTAGCGGAATATAAAAATAAAAATAGCAGCTTTTTTTTTATCAGGAGAACATAGCATTAGAGGAACTGACATCAGATTCTCAGGATTTCGGAAATTAAAATTTTCTGTTTCTCGGAGGAATTTCTCGCCAAAATTTGGATGTTTTATCAAGAGAACATAACAAAAAATGTGATTAAAGGAAGTGACACAATTTTGACAATTTGATGTTATCTCTATTTAGAAAAATTTCCTTCGCTAATAATTGAAATATTTCCCTGCTCACCGTGCATATGTACGTTTCTTCTACAAAGAGTACTAGAGATCAAATGTGCGTATAGTTCAACCGCTAGCCGCTGGAGACTCTTATTCCTTGTATCTATTTCTTGGCTGACCTTTTTAACATTGCGTCGGCAATAGCCCTGCTCATCTCTGATAAAGGACCCCACCCTTATTAGTAATGGATCGAAGCGTATGTACTAAAGGTTTGTTCTCAGTAAAATAGGATATCTATTATTGTGTTGTGTGAATTAATTATGTATGTGTAACAAAATATTTATTATATTAAAGTTTATGTAATAAATCGTTTTATTTTGTTTCATTTTGATTTTATATTTTAAATTACAATTTATGGTAATTTCCTGAAACATAATTTTGACATCATGTATCTATTGTATTAAGGTTTACATTTATTCATGTGTTGTGTCAACAGTAAAGACGCTAATTTCTACAATTATTAAATAACAGTTCATAGTGTTTCATACGTAAATAGAAACTAATTAAAGCTGATAAATAATAAATAGTAATACAGTTTTAAAAGGCAAAGGTCTAAACTACATTAAGTATTATATTAAATTACTTTAAGATTATAGTGCCACTCCCTAGCTTATATGGTCAAATATAATATGCTTTTATATGTAATTAAGTTCTTTCAACATTGTTCTTCATCAAAACGGCTAATTTCTTTCTTAAATTATTTATATTATTTTTGTCATAATTAATATAAATTATATTAAAGTGAGGTGAGAAATGATTAATAATATAAAAATTAATACACATTTTCCTTGATAGTATTTGTATTTATTATAAAAAAGATCAAATATTACAAAAGTCATTTGATTGACAGATGCATTATGTTTAATCACTTAATCACTTATTACATTTGATCTTAAAAAGAATATGTAATGATTTTATTTATAATAGAATATGTAATGTTTTTTCAGATTACCATTAATTTGATAAATCTATAATCTTTCAATTATATTGAAGTAATAATGTATTGTGTATCAGAGATTATAACATACATTCTTATTGTAACAAGTTATACATTTGCACAAAATGTCCTATATGGAGAACAATATCAGTGTCCACAACATTGGATAAAATTTCAAGAATCATGTTACCGTTTCATAAAGAGTCCTATTAGGGACAGACAAGAAGCTAAAAAAAATTGTGAAGCTTATCAAAGTGATCTTACTACAATTAATTCCTTAGAAGAACATGGATTTATATTATATCATTTATTATGGCAAGATCCACAACATCATAAATGGTATACTGGTATAAAATATCAAAATGGAAATTGGATAAATGAAGCTGATAATACTCAATTATTAAATATGGAAAATGCATTTTTACCTGAACCAGTTGATAATACACTTGGAGGAGATTATTTAGTGTATTCTTATCATAATAATTTACAACGATGGGGACTGGAAAAAGTAAATGGTAGAGATAGGTTCTTATACATTTGTGAAGCACCAATTTCTAATTTGCATAACTTAGTAGATGATGATCGTACTTATCAATATGGTATTGAAATTGATAATCCTCGTGAAATTCCTAGAGGACCATATTTTATCAAGCAACCTACTGATAAAGTATTTGATCTGTCAAAAAGAAAAATAAACAATGATGTTGCACTGAGTTGCTTAGCAGGTGGTTATCCTGCACCAACATATGAATGGTTCAAAGAAGATTATGAGAATGACAGACTCATTGCAACAAAAATAGATCCACTAAATAATAATAGATATACAATCAGTGGTGGCACTTTAATTATTTATGAACCTGATCAGGTAAATAATATCTTGGATTATAATCATTATATACTAAAAGAAAATGTTATTTATACAACACTAATTTATTGTTTTTAGACAGAAGACAGAGGTTCATACCACTGTAAAGCAACCAATAAATTTGGTACAATTATATCTGAAAGTGTGGAACTGTCATTTGGGTATATATTGGAATTTAATTTAAAACGTTCAGAAGAACGTGGAGAACAAAATTGGGGTAAAGTTGTATATTGTGATCCACCACAACATTTTCCAGGAGTCAAATATTATTGGGCACGTGACTATTTCCCCAATTTTGTGGAAGAAGATAAACGTGTTTTTGTTTCTCATGATGGGGCACTTTATTTTTCTGCATTGGAAATGATTGATCGTGGCAATTATTCTTGTAATGTTCAAAGTGTTGCCTCTGATACTGGTCGTAATGGGCCATTTTTCCCTTTGAGGGTTGACTCACATTGTAATTATATTCCTTTAATTGTCTTCATTTTTTCAGTCAGTATTTTATATTTTGATGAATCTCTTCATTTTCAGCCTCCTTCCAACAATTAAAGTTCTCTGGTAATTTTCCAAAGGCATTTCCAGATGCTCCAATTGCAGGAGAGGAAGTTAGACTTGAATGTGTTGCATTTGGATAGTAAGTTTAATTGTATCTCAAAATAAATTTACTATATCATCCGGTAATTTAGAATATTTAAGTTAGTAAATTGTTATTATCGTGTAAAATAGTATATAATTTTATTACATAATACATTTTTCAATTTAACACAGTCCAATTCCATCATACAATTGGACAAGAAGAGGTGCATCACTGCCACGTGGATCATACACAACTAGTTATAATCGAGTATTAATAATTCCAAAAGTACATGTTGATGATCAAGGAGAGTACACTTGTAGAGTTTATAATGACAGATCAGCAATTGAAAATTCTGTAAGACTAACTATTCAAGCAGCTCCGAATTTTACAATTCCATTAGTAGATAAACATATGGATAATAGAGGAGAGTTAACTTGGACTTGTGAAGCATTTGGAATACCAGATGTTTCTTATAGTTGGTTTAGAAATGGTGAAATGTTAAATATGGAAACACTTCCTTCACAAGATAGAGATCGATATTCTATACAAGATAATGTCTTAAGTATAAAATATTTAGATCCAGAGCGAGATCAAGCTATGTATCAATGTCGCGCAAGAAATCAGTTAAAAACAAAGTATTCATCTGCACAACTTCGAATTTTATGTAAGTTGTTATTTAGATATATAGTTTCGATAGAAATGGAATGTGTGTGTAACTTTTAAAAAAAGACTCATATTCAAAAATTATTATTTTTAAATATCATTCCGAAATTTTAGCATTAAAACCATCTTTTAAAAAACGGCCTATGGAACCCGAGACTTACGCAGCAGAAAAAGGTAATGTCACAATATTCTGTAACCCTGAAGCTGCACCTAGACCAAAATTTGTCTGGAAGAAAGATGGAAATGTGATTGGTTCTGGTGGTAGACGTAGAATTTTAGAAACTGGTAATCTAATAATTAGCCCAGTATCAAGGGATGATGAAGGCACATACATTTGCACTGCAACAAATCAATATGGAAGCGATGACACTCGTGGACGATTAATAGTATTACGTAAGACAATATACTTCATTACATACGAGTGTTCATGAAATCGAACGTAGATTATATCAAACCAGACATACTTGACGAGTTTTCAAAATCAATTTTTTCGGAAATAGAGCTCCAAATAAAAAAACTTTATATTTTAAACTTATATTTGCGTGGAGAATCATTCTCCTTTCTGATAACGGGATTCTATGATTTCACGAACATTCGATAAAACTATAGTTTTACTGAATTGTATTTAAGATATCGATTTTTATTAAATCAAAGGTGGTCCACAATTTATTGAAAAGTTACCACAACATGTTACAAGTGCAGTGATGCAAAATCAAACACTGCGTTGCATGGGGGAAGTAGTTGATGAAATGCTAGATGTAGCTTATATTTGGAAACATAATGGTTTACGTATCAGAGACGAGGATTTAATAAATAATCCTAGATTGCATATTGACGGAGAAGAACTTAATATAATAAACGCTACATTCGCAGAAGCAGGAGAATATCAATGCATAATTAAAAGTGCAGTAGGCGAAATTTCTAGTAAAACGACAGTTACAATAGAGGGACCACCAGGACCACCTGGTGGTGTACAAGTTGTAAATATTGTAAAAACTTCTACAACTTTACGTTGGACTGATGGTGCTTTTAATGGCAAACCCATTACTATGTATACTGTAAGCGCAAGAACAAATTGGAATCACACATGGTCTAATATCATAGAAAGTATGTATAATAAAATTATTTATGGTTTTTGATCACATAGATTTTTTCAATAAAAACGTACATAATGTAAATGTTATTTCAGATATAACTGCTGTTGAAGTAGATAGATATAATGGTAGAAAAGAGGCTTATTTGGAGAATGTTCTAAATCCTTATACTACATATGAGTTCTGTGTATCTGCTTTTAATGAATTAGGATACAGTTTACCATCATCACCCTCCCCACAATACAGTACACCACCTGATAAACCAACAAAAGTTCCATCCAACATAGGCGGAGGAGGAGGTAAAATCGGAGATCTTACAATAACATGGGATCCTTTACCATCATCTGAACAAAATGGTCCAGGAATCTACTACAAAGTTTTCTGGCGTCAAAAGTATCACGAAACTGAGTTTCAGTCATTATCTTTGAAAGACTATGGTAATGCTGGGAGAAGTGTTGTTCAGATACAACAACAATATTATTACACAGAATACGAAGTTAAAGTCCAAGCTGCTAATGCATTAGGTTTTGGACCAATTTCTAATGCAGTTACGATATTTAGTGCTGAAGATATGCCCCAAGTAGCTCCACAACAAGTTGTAGCACATGGCTACAATAGTACTAGCTTAAAAGTTAGTTGGCTGCCAATTGAACAGACACGTGAAAGGATACGGGGCAAATTAATAGGCCATAGAATAAAGTATTGGAAGGAAAGTAATAAAGAGGAAGATGCAGTATATTACTTATCTCGAAGTGCAAGACCTTGGGCTCTTGTAGTTGGTTTGCAACCTGATACTTATTATTATGTTAAAGTCATGGCGTATAATTCTGCGGGAGAAGGTCCTGAAAGTGAACGATATTTAGAAAGAACTTTCCGTAAAGCACCGCAAAAACCACCATCTTCTGTCAATGTATATGGAGTAAATCCTTCAACAGTTCGGGTTGTTTGGCGTTATGTACAACCAAGTTTAGAAGAAGAACCATTAATAGGTTATAAAATACGTGTTTGGGAGCTAGACCAAGATATGAGCACCGCAAATGATACTATTATACCAGGTGGCTCGAAATTAGAAGCTTATATCACAAATCTCAGCCCTGGAAAGGCATACCACTTACGTGTACTTGCATTTAGCAATGGAGGAGATGGACGAATGTCGAGTCCAACTCATACATTCCAAATGGGCGACGCAGCTGCTTTCAGAAGCAGTGCTGGTAATAAAATTTTGGATGCTGCTTTAGGTATATCATTGTTATTATTATTGAGAATTTATGAATACATATAGTATGAGTATAAGATACTTTTGATATATCACAGATTTACTAAACTGTTAGTAAGAAATTGAACGCGAGAGAAGAGAGAGAGAGAGAGAGAATACGTATGTGTATGCGCGTGCGTGTGTATAAAATATTTTTATGAAAAGATAGAAATAGACCAGTATAATTTGCTGTTTTCAAATCATTAATTTGTTGAGAAATATTTGTGCAAATTATGATACCATTATTATTTAATTATTTTCTAACCAGATCTAACATTGCTAGACAATATTAATCATATCCAAAACTTTTACAAATACCGTAACACATTAAAGTTAAAGAGTTCACTTTGAACAAAATACTGTTTATTGTAATATTTAGTAAGTTTTACATTAAATGGACAGTAGATGATTTTCATAAAATATTTATGACATTAGTATGATAATGTCGATATGAATATGAATGTGAAATATAAAGTGAAATCTCAATACTTTTAACAAGTACTTGTTCTTTTAAGAATAAAAGTAACGGAAAGCTTAATGGAAAAGTGGTACAAATACATTTTATTAGAAAAATAAAATAAGTACTGGAAGTACTTAAGTACTAAGCAGAACCATTTTGTAGACAAGGGTGCCTATACGAATTAATGTTATTTTTGCAAAACAGAAGAGTTTGTCACTTTTCTCTTGAAAATAATTTATTATAAAAATATAACATACAAATTTTTACATAAATTAATATTGTTCTTCTAAATTATTTAGACTTTATGATATTATGAACAAATGATTTTTTAAGAATTTTTTATACAAGAAATCATGTTTATCCGTCCATGAATAAATATCCAAATAATGTGTAAATAATAATTATCATATTAATATTTTTTAATATTATATTCTTGTATAGACAATAATAAAAATCTTCGTTAAAAAAAATCTCATAATGCATAAAAATTTGTTACTCAATTATGTAAAAAGTTTATTATTTGTATAATCCTATTTAACTCGGAAAATTAAAATTATACAAAATAATAAATTTTGGTAGCTATAACTTATTGATGTAAGAATGTTTAATTCGTGAAAATAGAATACATACCTTTTTATACTAATACATTAATAATAAATAAAATCTTATATATGTTTTTTACAAGAAAAATCAGTTTATCCTTATCCTTTATTAATAACTAAAATTAAAATTGTGGAGAATATTTTCTATAATTAGAACTATATATGTACATCTTTAAATTAAAAGTATAAGTATAAATTACTAATGATTCTAAAGACATCGAAATAAAATTCAAATAAAAAAGTTAAAATTATTTTATTTGGTTTATTAAAAAGATAATTAGCTAGTTTAAATCTAATATTTGAATTGATTAATCTGAATATTAAAAATATTACATATATTGCGAGGATTAAAATAATAAAAAGTTTATATTTCATTATTTAAATATCACGTATTTCATTTTTTATAAAATATTTTGGATAGATATTATATATACATACGTAGTAGCAGATAAAGTAGTTTGGTAGTAGATATCAGTTTATTGTCAATACATACAGATTTAGTTTAATATAGAGGTTATAAGAGATAATTGTAGATATACTTAAGATAATGTCCATATAGTTTAATTTTAGAAACCGATGATTACTCTTAAGATACAAATGATAACTCCTATTTTGTAAAGAATTGTTGTAAACATATTCTGTAGAGATAAATTGTATCTTAAATTAATGCCGGTGGCTGAGAATCGTGAATAGTCTTGAAGATTTCATAAAGAACATTTTTCATTACTATTTTATAAAGTTTTATTTTTAAAGTTAAACATGTTACGATTTATAAACCGAAAGTTATGTCCAAGTCAAGTGTTGAATAAAATTTTAAAATTTAATACTAAACAAACGAGAAGCTTGAATCTACTCGAATATCAGAGTAAGGAACTCCTAAGAGATTGTGGAGTTTCTGTACAAAATTTTGCTATTGTGGATGATCTAACTAAAGCGAATTCTGCTTTACAAAAAATAAGTTGGTATTTTTCCCTATTTCTAATATATCTAATTTACTTGTTTATTTAATTATCATTTGTATAAAGGTATAATAAATTATTGATACAGATTTGATTGTAGCATTTTAACTTATCAAAATTTAATTCTTTATTAGTTCAATCTTATAACATTCTATTATTATTAGTTACATAGATATGTTTCATTCTTTCTGTTTTTAAATGAAGCTGTTGCAATTTGATTTACTTTTATAGGTGCGGATGAGTATGTTATAAAAGCTCAGGTACTAGCTGGTGGTCGCGGGAAAGGATGGTTTGATAATGGCTTCAAAGGAGGTGTTCATCTTACAAAAGAGTAAGTGTAGATGGTATGATACATAATACAAAAGTATGTGTATTATTTATTATTGCATATTTTTTAATAGTCATAAAGCTGTCATAGATGTTGTGAGAAATATGTTAGGTCACCGTCTTATTACAAAACAAACTTCAAAAGATGGTATATTGGTACAAAAAATTATGATAGCAGAATCTGTAAATATTGCACGTGAAACATACATCTGTATTCTTATGGACAGACAACACAATGGTCCTGTATTAATAGCTTCACCATCAGGTGGTATGGATATAGAAACAGTTGCTGAAAAGAATCCAGAATTAATAAAAACAGTACCTCTTGACATATACTATGGCATTGATGATGAGATAGCCAAAGATGTTAGCATATTTCTTGGTTTTGTGGATTCAGAAATACAACAGAAAGCAATATTTGAATTAAAAAATTTGTGGAAACTATTTGTAGATATTGATGCTTTACAAGTTGAAATTAATCCATTGGTTGAAACTACAGATAAGCAAGTTATAGCAGTAGACGCAAAAATAGCATTTGATGATAATGCTGAATTTAGGCAACAAGATTTATTTGCTTTAGAAGACAGTGATACAAAAGATCCTAGAGAAGCAGATGCATCACGTTTCAATTTGAATTATATTGGTATGGATGGCAACATAGGATGTTTGGGTATGTTTAATAATATGGTAATAATATTTGCTATACTATATATTATATATTACTATATTATATATATATATAAAAGGGAGGAATAATTTTTGAAATAATCATTATTTAATTTTTAATTCATAAAAATTTATGTAAAGTATTTTGAACAGAATATTATTATTCTTCTTAATTAACATAAAATTCAAAATTATATATTATATTTAGTCAATGGTGCTGGTTTGGCAATGGCTACTATGGATATAATTAAATTAAATGGTGGATCTCCAGCAAATTTTCTGGATGTGGGTGGAAGCGTTAAAGAGGATCAGGTTTATCAAGCATTTAGAATTCTTAGTGAAGGTATGTATGTACTATAATAGACTTGTAGGAAAGTCGAAAAATCGAAAAAAAAAAGAAATTGAAGTTTTCCTATTTTTTATATATGTAACATAATGGCCTGAATAGATCTCTTAAACTTGTGAATGTGATTTGTGTAATGTGTTTCCACGATTTTATCATATTTCTTTAAGAAATTTAATTAATGATTTTATCAGATATATTATCTCTGTGAATTATATTCACATATTTTCGAAAAAAACAACTTTAAATGTTCTGTTTGATATCTCTAGATCCAAAAGTAAAAGCTATTCTTGTAAATGTATTTGGAGGTATTGTAAATTGTGCTACAATAGCAAAAGGAATTATTGCGGCATCTCATAATTTAAAGCTTAAAATTCCATTAGTTGTTAGACTAGAAGGTAATTATTTCGTTATTATTTACTTTGTAATTTTGTTACAGAAGTTATAGAATATTATCTATTTATCTATTTATTTATTTTTATTGTTATATGATTTAATAATGTTCACTATGTTTTTAAAATAGGTACTAATGTAACAGAAGCAAAGAAACTTCTTGCAGAGAGCAAGTTATCAATTGTTACAGCAAATGATTTAGATGAGGCTGCAAAAAAAGCAGTTTCTTCAGCAAAAACATAAGTTTGGTAACATTCTTGTGTATTAAGTTTATTAAGACTGGGAATTTTTGCTTCAAGTACATATATCTAGATAATATCAACACATCAAAGACTACTTTTTCTATTTCTTTTTTAACATAATATGGTTTATTTTAGTTTATTGCTTATAAATTATTTAAGTAATCTTTTAATTTGTATTTTTTTACGTTTCCGCGAAACGAGTGGTTTGTTTTGTCGATAACTGAATTAAATATTTTATTATTATTAATACCAAAATATTGTTTTCCCTTCATTATTACATCGTATCCCTTCTGTTGTAGGTGTTTTCTCTGTTCTCGTTAATAAATAGTCTTATCAATTTATTTATTAATACCACATAAACAAGTATTATTAATTTATTGCATATATTTTATACATTTTCAATAAATAAATAAATAAATAAATGGAATATGTTTATATAGATGCTTTTAAAATAAGCTAATTTTATATCGTTTTATAATTTTATAAGATTCATTAAACATGTCTTTTATGATTATAACATATGTAGTTTTTTATATCTCTACTTCAAAATTTGTTATATCTGATAGAGGAATGTTCTTATCGTTAGAAAGAGGACGACTACTCTATAAGTATTTATTAAATATTGATGATGCCATTAGACTAAATTAAAGTTCGACGGACATTGTAGTAAGAATAGGTTTAAATAAAATGGCAAAGTTTCAATGGACAATAGGAATTGGGAAAAGGGATAGCGAGAGAAACAGACAGATCGGCGTGTGTATATATAGTTTGCTAGCCAGAGTGGGAGGGTTGAAGACGAGGGGATAGCTATTCTCGGAGTTTGTTCGGTACATTTTCCCTCTCTTCCAAATTCGGTGGCGGTAAACGTCAGTAAACCTTTCTAAATCGTATCGAACAGTGCAAAGAGTCTCTTCTCTTTAATACATCGTTCAAATGTAAATTGTGCTTGTGTTTTAATGTATATTAAAAGTGTAAAAGTGTGAATCATATTTGAAAGGGAATTACTAGTGCGAATATATACCTTATTAATAGATCCATTTTATCCTGTAAATAAGGTAGCGTGTAAAGTATTTTTCTAACAATGTTTATCGTTTAGAAAAGAAAAACAGTCATTACCTTTTATTCTATACATTTTCTTCTTCTATAATTTTAAGAAATTTTGTCACAATTAAAAAGCTTTTTACATTTACGGGAGAAGATGCATCCTTTATCACGCCAGTGTTTACTTGTTTGCTACATAATTTGATACTTTCAATCAAAACTGCTTCAATCAAAAGAGATGCAAATAAGAGATTGCAAATAAGATTCTTATCTATGTGTTTTAATAAACGCTGTTAATTAGTGATTGCATGAATGGCAATTTATGCTTCAAATAATTATATGAAATGATATGCATGCCACGTGAGTGAAACAATTGAGAATTAACATGCGACAAATGCGTACAGTGGTTTTTAAGTTCGTTGACGTTACAAATAGCAAGATAATAGATATTGGAAGGTATAATTTTTTAACGATTGATTCAATTTAAATTACGAAGTAAGATTATGTAGCGTCGTGGTAAACTTTATTTAATACTGTATAATTTGCGAATATGTTATAATAATTTCTTCTTTTCCTATTCCTCTTGGTTTATTACTAATCTTTTGTGCAATAATTTACAATAACTCGTCACTTACCAACATTTTTCTAAAACTTTACAGAAGCATTTTAGTTAAACGATTGCTAGTACAAGTAAATACCATTAATCAATTTCTAATTTTTAATAATCGGAACTAGTGTCAGTAAAATTTGTCTTATCTAATCGTAGAACAGTGATTGTGTTTCTACAGCCACTGTCTATGCACGTTATTTCTCTATTCATTTTAATCTGTTCTATTCAGTGAACTTTGACGAAATATATACTCACATTGTATACTTTTTAACTTGAACAGTATTTCGCACGATAAAATTTATCTTTTGCACACACACAAGATTAGACCTTGGAAAAAAGACACGTATGTCTACGTACTCTAAAAATACCTTGGCTCTGACTTGCAAGAGGCACATCGTAATTTAGCATGGAATTGATTAATTTCCTATTACACTGATCAGATTACCTATTTGACAATTATCTAGAACCTAATGACAAAACTTTGAAATAACGCCTAACCTCGTATTACGTACACGTATACAATATACATGTACATATGTACTATTCTCATAGTATTGACACTTTAATTATTTGAAATCCTAATCATTCTTGTAAGTTATATACCGTTTACAAGTTATGTGTACGCGAGTGTATACTATAGATTTATTTTATAATACAAGCTTCACTTTGCTAGCGATTAAGTAAATGAGACATTGAATTTAGCTTAACTACCTTGAACGGAACTACAACGAAATTGCAGGATGTTTATAAAATTGCATGTATTTTTACATATGATACATGAGAGAGAGAAAGAGAGAGAGAGAGAGAGAGAGAAAGTATAGTTCAATTGGATGTATTATATTTTACACACAATTCGTTTAAACTATCGATTTAAAAGATGTTAGAGTTTGGAATTTGCAAAATTATTTTCTCTATAGCACTTGAAATATTTTCCCATACTTTTCTTATGTTATTTAATACACTAGTTATGTGTCTTTTTATAATCTTTGGTGTTTCATTCTTTCTGTCATTCATGTTTAAGGAACTTAACAACGTGTCTTCGTAAAGATGTAGCTGTCCTAGTTGCGTGGGATGTTCTGTGTAAGATTACTCAGAACATTGACCTTCATAAAATATTTCAAGATCATTGAAATCGACGAGATAGGTTCCATTTTCACGTGTCCGTAATTTTTTCTCATAGGCAACATAGCGTACGTAAAATATCAAATTCGTACGTTCATGTACGTTTTAATATGGCGGTTTCCATCAAAATATTCGTAACAAATTTATCATTTTTTTGAACATCACACACGTGACAATTAAGTAAATGATTTTATCGATCCAATTAATATATTTCGTAGATTTCAAATGTTACAAGCAACTATTTTGTTTGTCGAAGATCTGTTCTTAACAATTATACATTCGTCATTTCGCGGCTACATAAACAGGCCCGTCACTAACGCGTGATGAGTCACAGTTACTTAGACATTGAATCACGAGAGTTAAATATGGATCAGGAGTAAGAGTTTTGTTCTTGCTGATAAACATTCAATTCGAATACCAAATACATGCATACAATAAAATCGACCATTATAAAGAATTATTTATACGTTTTATATCAACACAAAATATGTAATATGCGTCATTTTAATTGCTGAATTTCTTTTAATAACGACAACAGGATAGGGTGGTATAATAATCTCTCGCAATATCATATGCAGTAGTATTTCGGAAGATGTTCGCTTGCCAAATTTCGAAACTTATATGCCATTATTTCTACCACGGTAAAACTAGTCGGAGCGAGCGGTCACCTCATACAGCCGATGAAATATGCATTAGAATCGGGAATTTTGAAGTCGACCACGAACGAGAAAACGAGAAAATTTATCATTTTCCATTATCTCTTGATAATTTACGACACCTCCAATCAAATGATATTCAGTTTAAAAACAATTCTCCGCATAGTAAAAAATGTATATCCACTAGTAAGTATTATTCTTGACAAGTTCTCTTTTCTGGCCAATACTTATGAATCTATGAATTAATCATGCTATGATTTTCATATCTTCTATTCATTAAGCATATGAATGATATGACGTTACATTATTAAGTAAAATTAGCGTTTAATGATTTGGTATCTTTAAAATCTTTTTTAATACACGTTCCAAGATAACTTGTTTTCGTGAAACCTTCACTCTATAGATTCTTGAGTATCTGTTGCATGAGAACACTCTATAAAAAAGTTTTTAAGGGTAATATTTCTTTCCATAAAGATTCCACAGGAACAGATATTTTCTTAAACGAAACATCAACAGAATTTAAAAAAAGAAAAAAAAAGACGGAAGAAGCTATTTATTTCGATTCCTGCTTTAAATAATACATCCACTATAACCTCGTATTTTGAACGGGATATGTATATCAATTTATTATCATTTCTTTTTTTTTGGCGGTTAAATCACTGACCTAACTCTTGATTGCAAGTCGGCTGAAAAGGAACGTAAGGTCCGCTGCTAAAACTGGAATCGTTTCCGAAAAGGAAGAAGAAGGTGACTATTCCACAAAAGGAATTTGTGTTGCAATACTTACTATATCGGATGTTATCCGCTAGCGACACAATTTCAAGTTCTTTTTGGTCATTCAGATACAGTTAAATACACATATCTTATACATCTTATATACCTTATATATCTTATATATTATTATCTTTATTATACTATCAGGGTCGAGTTTTACGTATGATAGATATTTCATTGTACGTCAAATAGTAACTTTGACAAGGATAAACTTTAAAATTGTACCGAGCGGAAAATTATATACAGTGCAATTGTTATTTAATTGTTAATTCGCTAACATGATATGATGTGGAATTAGATAGTAATTCGTATTACGTGACTGAATATCTAATAATAAATTATAACAAATATTTCATTCAGCCTTGTGTCTTTATGGAGATAATTAGCATTTGTATTGATAAAATTTTACAGTGTTCCTGTGCGATATATGGAATGATTTACCACTTCTATTTATCTCAAATATCTTTGTTATTTCAAGTAATAAGCAGAAATATTGCTTACCAAAGTTGCACGGTTGCAAGAATCTCACAACACGGTGGCAATAATTTTTTGACCCACAAGATGTTAGAATTATGTAGATATCTCTATTATTTCATAAATTTTTCTAGTAGTTTGTAATAAATTATTTTATATTCATTATTCATTAAATTCATTTATTTAAATTGCATATTCATTAAAATAATTCTTATGCGAGTCATTTTTTACAGAATTCTAAAGGAATTCCTTATAAGGAGACCAAAAGAAATCGAATTTTAAGAAGTACAATTTTGTAGATTAAGATAAAGATATTTTGCGTGTAGACAGTACGAACATTGTTATATTGCACTTATTTTGTCGTAGTACTATCTATATAACGCTATAATAATATCTATAATTTACGATTTGGCTTTTAATTTACATATCTTTTAAATGATGTATAATCAGTGACTGAATGATCGAAGTATCAAAGGTTGATTAAAGAATTATCGTGTAAAAGGAAACGTATTACAGATTTACAAATTTCTACTCTCTCTTTCTCTCTATTATATGATATAATTGATACGCTATTGCATTTATTCTACCATATACATACTAATTAATACTAAATTTTATACAATTTAGAATTACTTTCGTATAACTACATATAAACTTGATACTATAAAAATGAAATTGAGATGTTGATAAAAAAAGAACGCTTCATAGAAAAGTAAGGCTATGGGTAATACCGATACTTTTGCTGCTGTAAGTAGTATATGCATGCATCAGAGAAGATACAGTAAAATGAGAGAAAGTGAGTAAGACACACGGTGTAGAGCGTATAGCGAGCTCATCTCGGTTTAAGAGGAGAGGGGAGATTAGAGTGAACGGAGCAGCAACGTGTGAACACACACACAAGGTTTTCTACTTTTCTCCCCACCATCGTTCTCACCATTACCAATGTCATCCCGTAGGAGCGAACCGGCCGATAAAATGTGCGAGAACGATAAGTCAGTCAAGTGCGAGAACGCAGAGGAAGAGGACGACGACATGTTCGAACAAGATTTGTTGGAGGATGCCCAGTGGAAACGAACGCAGCAAAACACGTTTACGAGATGGGCGAACGAGAAGCTGAAAACGGTGAACAGACAGATCGATGATTTGGAGTGTGATTTGTCCGACGGTCTTCTACTCATCAGTTTGATCGAGGTGCTCGCGCAGAAGAAGCTTCCGAAGCATAGTCAGAAGCCCGTCTTTAGATCACAGAAATTGGAAAATGTTTCAGTGGCATTGAAGTTTTTGGACGACGAGGGAATAAGAATCGTTAATATCGGTGAGTGGCTGACATTCGTGTTTTGTTGCTTCAGTTAGGCTTCCCTGTGTTCCGCTTTTTTCTCCGTTCATATCATTCGTTTGAGTCATTCTCTCCTCTTTCTTCCCTTTCGAATCGAGAGGAAAGAAAGCAAAGAAAAAGAATTAGGAATAAGAAAATGAGATAGATCAAATTAACGAGTACATGTGATACGTAGTTTTCTTTCATTGTATAAATATACATATACAGTGATTCTTACTAGTACACATGTAAAGCATATTTGACAGTACTTTAACTGTTATTGTTATGTATATCTCGGTGTAATTAAGCGGATGTAATTATTATTGTTTGCCCTCTTAACAAATTTATTTTGTTCGATGGTAGTATAAATTTTATTCATTCCCCACATTTAATTTTTAATGTTGAATGTTACTATATTGGACTATATTGGAGATAGATTTTATACATATTAAATAATATATTATTCTTCCGTTGCAAAAATGTGCTGATAGAGATATACAATTACAATCATGATACTAAACAAGATGTAAGTAGGTAGGTATAGTATAGTGAGGTCGTAAAATCGGTTAGGAGTTCAAGTTTACATATCTCGAGGATCGAAACAAATAATTTGAGACATTTTGGAGGGCATAAGGGCTTAGAACCTCGTTTTGGGCCGTACGATGTTGCAGTTTCCTAATTTTATGTCATAAAATACCGTGTGAACTGTTTTATTTTGTTTTGATTTTCGAGTTGAGACTTTGTCGATATACGTAGGCATCTCGCGTCGCATCTGTCAACTTATATTTCGATCTAAAAATTTCACTTTCGAAAAGCTATTGTAACTGGAAATTCAGTTAGATTTTTAAAAAGAAGTCGTACGTGACCAGCGATTGATTAATAACGTAGAAAAGACGTGTCTCCTTACGTGACTGGCGATGAAGTGATAACACGAAAAGAAATATTTTTACGTGATCGGTGGTTTGTTCAGGTCATTACAAAATTTTGTGCGCGTCAAAATATTAATCGACGTAAAATATTAAGAAATACAATAGTTTCATGTTTCGTATATGCCTTTGACACACAGAGAGAATTGTGTTGCAAGAGAAAGAAACATGGTTTTTTATATAAAAGTTTGAACGAGGACAATGTTATTATAGTACACATATTGTTATCGACGATTGTAAAGGATATCTCAAGTTCTGTTTAACTCTATCAAATGTCATCACTTTCCTTTTTTCCCCGGTGTAAAAAGGTTTAGCAACACCAATTGTAAATTAATTTCTAATTAGGGTTAGGTTGGGGTTAGGTTAGGGGGGGGTTCATTTCACGTTAGATAAATATACGTACATATTTTCTTTGAAATACTTTAAATTATTAATGAACAGAGATAACGTAAAAATATAATTTACATTTCTTGTAATATGACTCATTGCAAGGAAGTAAAAAACACTTTCGCGCTTTATGAAGCTGCGCTTCTATTTGACTTAGTTTCTCTAACGGGTGGCTTGAATAGCATTTATACAGAAGTTTCATGGTTGTGGCGGCTAGTTCCATAAGAGAAAGGAAAGTTTACATGAATATTGAAATTTTTCAATGGAAGATTTTTTGTAGAACAAGATATGATAATTAAAATAAAAATAAAATAGAGATAATTACACGGAATAGTAAAAGATCCTCGAATCGATGATGCTTTATCGAAATATTTCAAAATCTGTAGGATAGGAATATAGCGATAGTTTTGTTACCTGTACCCACTAAATATTTCTGAGAATTAGCAATTATATAAAACGTGCTTCGTCCATTCTTTATGATAGTCGTGAATCTTTCATTTCTTTCAAGGACTAATCTCTTCTAAGTATTTATAAGATATAAAAGGATTTGATATATGTAGGTATCAAGCCATACATATTTATTAGTATATTAGTATATTAGTATATTGGTTCATGTACGTAAATTATTTTATATATCTAAATAATTCTAAAAACTATAAATAGTTTGCTCTTGAAAGTGATTTTGGGAAGCGGGAAGAGGGAGTGAGAGGGAGACATGGAAAGTAGGCGGGAAGGCAGGTAGGTAGGCGCACGATGAGGTGAAGGTCATATTTGCTCAGGTACAAGGGACGTCATCTTTGCTTTCAGTTTGCGTACACCTATGCCAAACTCATTCTCCCGATAAGATAGTTTTTTCTCAAAATTAAAAAAATTTCAAGAGAAATACTCTTCAAACTTCTTGTCCATGTAATTCATTTTAATTCTAAACCAATTATGTTTTAGTCGTGTGTGTGTGTATATTTATAAATTATCGACTAAAAATGAAATCAGAAAACAAATCTTTTCGTTCGTTGTAATTGTACAATGTGTTAATTTAGTGGAAACATAACAATAACTGTCACGAGGATAAATGATAATGGCATTCTTTTCCGTCTTATAACTTATCAATACGTTCTTAATTTAAAATACAACTGGTTATCACGGCATGGAATGTTTTACTCGCTTAACTTTATGTAGAATACGCGTTTGTACTGAAGTCATTCGTTTAAATTTATATTTGTCATAGTGCGTCTGCTCTGGCATCATTTTAATTAATTATTTTGTTCATTCTGATAATTATCTTTATCGTACGATATTAAAGGAGACAATCTTTTGTTAATGAAACTTCTTATTTACGTTTTTTCATTGCGCTGGATTTTTTCTTATGTTTATTCTTTTGTTTTACCTACGTATATATATAAATATATATATATATATAAATATATATATATATAAATATATATATACAATATATATATATATATATATATATATATATATTGTAATAGTTTATCTATAACTGTTGCACTTTGCGATGTAGATAAATTTATCACCTACCCTTTGCGATGTAGTAGAAAATAGAAACTTGTCCTTTCTAATTACTTGAAAGAATTTTATAAAAATAATCGAATGAGTAATATTTTTATCACATAAAAGTATTTCCTTGTGCGAGTTTAGAATTTC